GACCTAGAACTGGACACAGGATTTCAGGTGTGCCCTCAGCAGTGCTGGGTGCAGATGGACAATCACTGCCCTGCTCCTGCTGGCCACACTAGTGCTGATACAGGCCAGGATACCTTGGACTTCACTCTGGATCACGTTCAGCCGTTCATGACACCGAGGACCACCTGCAGCTGGCCCTGTTCTGGTTCCTCCTGAATCACACCTGCATTTGTGAGCCCCGTTTTCCTAAGCCTTCACCTTTCTGACAGGAATACAAGCCAGTCTGCAACACGTAAATTCATATCCACACAGTAAGGGAAAAACAAACAAACAAAAAAAACAACAACCCAGTCTGCAACACGTAAATTCATATCCACGCAGTAAGTGAAAAACACACACAAAAAAAAAAAAATTACCGTCCCCAAACCAAAGAGCCCAAGCCCGCCGAATGCCCGAGCTGAACGCGGCGCTCGCCGCTGTTTTCCAGCCACGATCCCCACGCAGGTCGGCGCTAATTCCGCCCTCAGGACACAGCAGCTCCCAGGGCAGCTCAGCCCCGTGGCGCTCCCGGCATTTCCCCTCACGCCCGCCGCCGCCCCTCCCCAGGCGGTGCCCGCAGCCCCCGGCCCGGGCACAGCCGGGCGCTCCCGCCGGGATGGCCCTTGGAGCGGCTTTCCGGCTACCTCCACTTCTGCAAAACGGCCCCCAAGAGTCAAGTGGAAAAGAAAATGGGGGGGAAAAAAATAAAGAAACAGCAAATAAAGCCAAACCCTCGCCGCGACTTCGGGGACCCTGCGAGACCGCCCCCAACCCCGCCGCGCCTCACCCGCTCCGCCGCTCTCCTCACCCGCGCCTGCCGGGATCCAGCCCGGCTACAAAGGCACCGCCCGGGGCGGGGATCCCGCGGGGCCGCCCCACTCCCGATCCCACCCGGCCGTGCCCGGGAAGCGGGAGGGAGGGATGGTCCTGTCACTGTGTCTCGGCCTGTCTCCCAGCGGAGTTCTCCATTTCCACCCTTGCCGCTCCTCCGCCAGTGAGATACAGGTTGTGCTTGGGTGTCACACCATGCTCCTTTACATTTTATAGCAGCATGGAATCATGCCATGCTGATCATCTAGTTCCAGCCCTCTGCCATGGGCAGGGATGCTTCCCACTAGACCAGGTTGCTGAAAGCCCCATCCAGCCTGGCACTGAACTCTTCCAGGGATGATGGGGGTGCCTGAAACACTTCCACGGATTCCAGCTCCCTGAATGGAGACCAACACCATGAAATACAGCCATTACATGTAATCACGACTTAATAACTTTGAAGTTATTGGTTGTTTTTTGGTTTTTTTCCCTGTCATTAAATATTGATTTCCTCACCAATTCACTCTTTAACAAGACGGTGTGCATTCATCCAAAAAGAAATTCCCCTTTGCCAAGTACCTTCCTTTATAATAGACTTTTATGTGTCATTTCTCCTAGAGATATGTAGAGAATTTGCATAGACTGGTATACTTTCTTTTCTGGTTACACATTAAAGAATAGTATTTTTCCATCTTGTTAAGGACTTTGAAGGAAAAACAGAAAGGAATTGCGATGGTCCTAACAAAGACTTAAATCTTTTACAGAGTTACAAGCAGTTTGCTCCCATACAGAGCCAAGACAAACTTACACAGTCTTCTGTTACTGGATTTTGTTTGGGTGTGTTTGGATTTTTTCCCCTAAAAATACCACAAGATATTAAAGTGGTTGAAGATCAAGGCTTCTCGTGAAACACTGAAGAGATTTGTATCGCCTGGCATGAATATCAGATTGTTTCTCTTTCCATCTCAGTTAATCTGGGCAAGGAATAAAACAGGCAAAACCTGCTAAATATTGGTGTGCCAAGCATTTCCTTAGTTGCATTTGCAGAAAGTCATAGACACATTTATCCAAGTAAAAGAAAATCTAGGCTTATAATCCAGCTAAAAATAGCAAAAGTAAACAGTTGACTTAGAGGCCTAAAGCTGTCAGTTCTGTAAGTAGCACTGTATGCTGCTCCATCAAAAAATCAATTTGGAAAAAAATTTCCTAAGTGCCACCTCTGTGCCTCTCCACAGCATTGATTACCTGGTGCTTTCTGTCTGGACTCACAGATTGTGTTTAATGTAGCTGTGTCTCAGGAGCTGCAGCTGAGAGAGATGCTGCCAGGGTGTAGCTCACATGGCATCCACCTGCAAAGGCTTGAAGGTGGCTGGGAGTTATTTATTTTATTTCCACATCTTGTCTGCAGTTATCACATTCCAGTGTTGGTGGCAGAAGATGGTTTAGCATTGCAGCTAAATCCAGAAAGACGCAGTTTCCATCTTTCTACCTTTTCTTAACCTGTGCTAAGATCTTAGGATTTAATTGGTGATTTATTTGTGCAGGCAGGCTTGAAAGTGAATGTTTGTCTGGCTGCTGACTCATCAGAGGAGAGAGATTAAATATGTAGTACAATGGCTACAGGTATCAGTGAGTCCTTCCCACTTCACAGCTCTCTGCTCTCTCCTCCGTGTATTTGCAATCTGGAGTGTGGCCTTGAGCCTCTCTGTGTGGGAATAAGCCCTGGGATAATCAATCAATCAATCAATCAATCAATCAATCATCAATCAGAGATCTCTTACCTGAAACCTCTTGAGAGACTTTTTAAAATTAACACTGTCCACAGTGCCTTTTCTTTCTCCTTAAGCTCTTTCTGGACCTCTTCTCTGAGTTAAGAAGAGCTCTCTAGGACCTTTTTCAATTTGCAGGCTTTGGCAAGAAAACATTGTCTCTCCTTGTGAGTGAGATGGGACAGCCTCTACCTGCCTCCCTCCTTGGTGTTGGATGCATAACCACTGTAAGACTGAGCCAGGTAACACACAACCCTCCTGCACTGTTGGGCTGGTCTGTGTGTGCTGTTCCTGTTAGCTGAATGTGGGCTAGGATAATCCTGGAGAGAGCAAGCAAGACCCAGATCTGAGCTGGGATCAACAGCAGAAATGGAAATAGCAGCTAAATGGAAGGCAGTTTCTTTCACAGACTCTGCAGAATTAGAAACATGCTGCTTCAAAGGTTCAGGAAGCTTCAGAAAATGTCAACTTCTCCAAAATATTTCAGAGAATCATTGAATGTTAAGGGCTGGAAGGCACCTTGGAAATCATCTAGTCCCACTCCCCCTGGCAGGGATGGGGCATCCACAGCCTTCCTGGGCAACCTGTTCCAGTGTCTCACCACCATCACAGTAAAGACTTTTTTCCTAATGTCTAACCTAAATTTCCCCTCTTTAAATTTGAACTCCTTCTCCTACCACTGTAGCTCCTGACGAAGAGTCCCTCTCCAGCTTCCCTGCAAGTTCCCTTCAGACACTGGAAGGTTGCTATGAGGTCTGCACATAATCTCCTCTTTTCCAGGGTGAACAACCCAAACTTTCTCAGTCTGTCTTCCTGGAGGTGCTCCAGGGCTCTTATCAACTTCATGGTCCTTCTCTGGACCTGCTCCCACAGAAGAGGGAGACAGAGAAGGCCTTACAGAGTCCATGCATTCAGTGGGTTTCAGCAGAAATAATGCATTCTCTGCTTTGCCTCTGAGTAGGCAGCAGCTCTGCAGGGACAAGGGGAGTTCCAGGGAGCTCAGACTGGAAGCAGCCTAAATTGGATTCTCTTCCTCCAGACTTCTGATACTCAAACAAGGCTATGTATGGATATAAATGGAAGACAGTTTCTTTCACAGAATTCTGTATCTGTAGAATTGGAAACATTCTGATACAAAGGTTCAGGAAGCTTCAGAAAATGTCAACTTCTCCAAAATATTTCAGAGAATCATTGAATGTTAAGGGCTGGAAGGCACCTTGGAAATCATCTAGTCCCACTCCCCCTGGCAGGGATGGGGCATCCACAGCCTTCCTGGGCAACCTGTTCCAGTGTCTCACCACCATCACAGTAAAGACTTTTTTCCTAATGTCTAACCTAAATTTCCCCTCTTTAAATTTGAACTCCTTGTCCTACCACTGTAGCTCCTGACGAAGAGTCCCTCTCCAGCTTCCCTGCAAGTTCCCTTCAGACACTGGAAGGTTGCAATGAGGTCTGCACATCTCCTCTTTTCCAGGGTGAACAACCCCAACTTTCTCAGTCTGTCTTCCTGGAGGTGCTCCAGGACTCTTATCAACTTCATGGTCATTCTCTGGACCTGCTCCCACAGAAGAGGGAGACAGAGAAGGCCTTACAGAGTCCATGCATTCAGTGGGTTTCAGCAGAAATAATGCATTCTCTGCTTTGCCTCTGAGTAGGCAGCAGCTCTGCAGGGACAAGGGGAGTTCCAGGGAGCTCAGACTGGAAGCAGCCTAAATTGGATTCTCTTCCTCCAGACTTCCTGGTCATGGCATTTTGCATATGCTTCTGATACTCAAACAAGGCTATGTATGGATGGAAAAGTTCTACTGCTTAGGTATATTTATGGCATTTTCTTTCTTTAGGAGAGTATTATGAACTTTCCCACAACATGAACCTCTAGGTTTTTCTGCAGGTCATGGCATTTCCAAGCTGCAGCCGTGACTGTGACTACCTCCCTCTGCTTGTACCCATGTGAGAGTGCACAGCAATTACAACAAAAGCTTATACTGAAAGCCATTGCTAAGCAAGTGTGAAGGCATTTTAACCGGGTCTGCTTAAACACACAAATCAGTAGCCAAAGCAACTGCTGTGCTCATCTGCAGGTGAGCAGCAGGATTACAATCATGGCATAAAGAATGTAAGCAATTCCAAACGAGTGCTGAGACAAAAGCAATGTTATCCAACCCAGTAGAAGTAGGAAGCCTAGGTGCAGAACTGGTGACAGCTTCCTCCTTCAGTTTTTCAAGCCCATTTTTAACAGTCAAGAACCATTTCCTTGTTTATCCTAACTTATGAAGGTCAGGTAGTCCGACACATAGGTAAAAGTAGTACCTGTGCAGCTGCAATCAGCAGCACAGGCTTTTCTCTAGCTGATCATGAGCTTGTTGACATGCCAAAATTTATAGTGCAGCAGTATGAACTTACCAACACTTCTCTCTGAGCTAATTCTGTTTCGCTTTTCGTGTTCAGTGAAGTGGTCTCTGTTCTTGCTGATCCTTCTGTCATGTTGCCTCTGCATCTCCTCTCCAGAGTATTACACCCAGATGGATTTCTCTGTCCTGGCTTCTTTTCTTCTGGGGTTAGAAAAGGAGTCTCTACAGATTCAGCTTGTCTTCACAGATCAACAAGCTGTGAAAGGATCTGGCTTCCTGTTTCATTTCCGCTGAAGTCTTCAGAGTCACACAGGCTGTCTGTGCTTCTCCATATCCAAGCCACAAGAAAAAAAAAATTGACATAACTCAGCTATTTATAAAGGTCACATTGCTATCTCCCCCTGCATCTCCCAAGTTGTTGGAGGGATGGAGATTTCAGGGTGCTTTTCAGACTGTGACGTAGCTGACCCATACATGGTCTCTGTCTCAGTGGTAGTCCACAGAGAGTCACAGCTTCTTCTTTTCAGCTCCAATGTCACGTTTCATCGCTAAGCTCTTAACATTACTTAGCATGCAATCAATGTGCCTCCTGTAGAAACAGTGGGACCGTGAAGAGGAAACAGGTGGTCCACACAAACATCCCTTCCTATGGTTATGGACCATGCTGTGTAAAAGCAAAGTTTACACAGATATGGTTAAATCACTTCATAGGTATGGGGTTTTTAACTGGAGTATGCAAAGGGTCCTTCAAAACAGTCTTTCCTTTTCCCTCCTAACTCATTATTTTAACTTAAATGAGAAAAATGGTTTCTTACAGTCTAAGACTATTAATTCCTTCTTAATTATGCTCTTGGAAGATACATCACAATACCACAGCTTACAAGTTCACTAAGTCCAGTCTCCCAGTCTGAAAATACCCACAAGTTCTTGTTTCAGAGGGGGAAACAGCTACTTGCCATTGCCTCCCAGAGATTCCTACTCTGTTAGTTTCTTCACATTTCACATGCATTAAAAAAACCAGTACAATTACTGACTCACATTTTCCCTTTCACTAGGATGTCAGCTTCCCTTTCTACCCCTTTTATTGCAGTATTTTTGTCAATTTAGTTCTAAAATGCTATTTTTCCATAATCACCTAGCATCAGGAGTGTTTATTAAAAAAAAAAAAGAAAGGTGGTGTTGGGGATATAACTGTTACATATATTACATTATTATTTTTGTTTATTGGCACCTCAGGAGCTGAAGGTGCAATCTGCTCTCCCTGCTCCAATCCAAGCCTTGGGCCCCGTGACTTCAGGCCTGCTACCACTTCTTATTTCACTGTGGAGGAAGGAGGAGAGGAACAACAAAGAATTTTTTTCCTAAAGTGTTCACTTGCTATCTTTGAATGCTCTCGTGCTGTTCATGGTCCATGCCAGTGAGCATCCAAAGGCAGCAAGTGAACTCTTAAAAACAGTGTTTAAATGTGTGTTTACACACACACACACACACACACACATACACACACACACACACACACAAACAGAGAGACACACACGTTTATGTGTATATAGGCGTAATTTTTTTTGTCTGTGTTCCAATCCCATTGGCAGAACAAGATAGTTCTGAGAGCAGAAAAACTGTAGACTGGCTACAGGACCAATGCATCTCCAAGGGAAGATCTTGAAAGAAAATTAGTAGAACAGAAGAAAGAAACACTGCACAAGCTTTCCTTGCTCAGCACTGGGTATTTGGTTCATTGGGTTTTTTTTTTGTGGTTTTATTTTTGTTTGGGCTTTTTTGTTGTTGTTGTTTTGGGGTTTTTTTTTTTGGTTTTGGGTTTTTTCGTTTTGGGGTTTTTTTTTTTTAAATAAAGCAAAAAAAACGGAAGCTGTTTAGTTTAAATTTTACAGTGAAAATTAACTTTCTTTTCTGCATTGAATTCCCTTTAGTCACCTTAAATTCTTCTATTGTACTTCTTACTTAATTTTAGTTGGGTAGTTTGTTTTTCTCTGGCCATAAACAGTTCTGGATATTTAAAACTTCCTACTCTTCATCTCATCTTGCAGTTTCCACATTTTTTAACTCATATGCCATAATTCCCAACCAAGGCATAGCTGGTTCACCTGGATAACTCTTTAATATCTCCTTAGGCTTTATGCAAGTAGGAAGAGTGTAGATTACCTCCCTTTCCTGCTGTGCTGGGGTATAATATTTGCCCAAGATCTGAATTTCTTCCATAGTCCAGTGAGCATCTTTAAGGCATGATGAAAATGCTGGGACATCTGAACAGTCTGTGTGGCAAGGAGCTTGAGGGAGTTTTGGAAAGTGATAATGTCTTTGCTCCAACAGGATTAGGTAAAAGGCAAACAAAGGCTCCAGGAGAGAGAAGAGTTAAAAACCAGGTCCTTCTGCACCCCTTCCTTGCAGGAAAGCCCCAGCTCAGCTTTGGAATTGTACTAAGTTATAAGAAATACAAGATGAATTCCCCACATATACCATGAGTCTTTTTTCTTAAATTAGGAACAGCTAAGAGGTCTGTGCAAGGTTATGGGGAAAAGAGAAAGACAAACCTGAAGCGGAGATGAGGAGTTTGGCATTCTGGAGGCACCTGGGCTGACAGAATCCACAAGCTAAGAGTAGCTGTGTGTTACTAAATAGTTGGTGTTTGTTTGCAAGCCTGCCTATTTGCAGTCTTTATCAAATTCACAAGCTGACAAGGAAATTTCCTGTGTCCACCCCCACACTTCTGCGGTGGGTGTTATCAGACGGCCTCTCCTACCCGCGACATTCCCTTGTCTTTCTGTGAGATGCAGCAGAAGAGCTCTGCACTTGACTTCACCACAGCTCAGTGTGCTGGTTCCCCTGCTCACCAGTGATAGGAGAACTCTTGGCTTTCAGCAGCTGCTGGGAAACCCAAACATGACATGGCACAACATCACGCAGCCCTCTGAAATTTGTAAACACAAGACGGCCACCTGAGCTGGTACTGGACCTGGAGGCACTTCCATCTCCATTGCTGAACCCTAGAGCCAACTTCTCACTTTCTTCCTGCTTTCTCTCTATGAAGCAGATTAAGGTTACAGAGACAATGTCCCCAACCTCCAGCTGCATGCAGTCACTTTTGTTCTGCTGTAACAGGTTGTCCTAAGATCTCATCTGCTACCTGGAAGAAAAATCACCCTTTTCAGAACAATTATTATTATTCTTGTTATTGGCAATATATTCTTGTTGCTGACAACTTAGTGCTGCAGCAGGATAGGTGGGGGCAGGAGAGATGCTGTCCTGGGCAGGAGCTTGTTGGTTACTTAGTGGTTCAACAGGTAACATTTTCTTTCTGAAGACTAGTAAAGGGAACAGCATCAATACAATCTATTTTCTGGATTTTGGAAGCATGAAATGCACTGTGAGTGCAGAATTGCCTCCTAGTGCCTGGGCTTGGTCACAGAAAATCAGCTTCCTGGAGAAGAAGAATCCCTATTACAAAATCTGTGATGGACCTTGCTTTTTAACAATTCTTTTAAAATCAAATACTTTTTACTTGGAATAACAGTCCATATTAAGATTTATTTTTATTTAGAAGTCAACATGCAAAGGCTCAGCTGTTTCTCCTTCATGCTGAAAGATGTTACTGTCAAAAGAAGCAACATACAGCCTATTCATGGACACTTTCCTTTTTCTTTTCTTTTTTCTTTTCTTTTCTTTTCTTTTCTTTTCTTTTCTTTTCTTTTCTTTTCTTTTCTTTTCTTTTCTTTTCTTTTCTTTTCTTTTCTTTTCTTTTTCTTTTTCTTTTTCTTTTTCTTTTTTCTTTTTTTTTTGTGTCAAGTGTCAATCCCTGGCTTTGCGACAGTGACTAAATATTTATGTTTCACTGCCAAAAGTGCATAGCAGCAAACCAAAGCTAGCGTTTTAAGACTTGTGTGCTATGAGTGACTCACTGGGATTAAAGATGTGAGCACCCCCTTCCCTGGGGTTCTCCTCTGAAGCAGGAGGAGCAGCTGCTTTTTGCCAATCCCTAAGAACCACTGCAGCCACCAGTGATGGCTTGTTTTGTACTGGAACAGCAAAAAAGGGGCACTGAGGGGAAGAAAGGAGCTCATTCTTTTCAGAGGAAGGAGTCACTCCAACCAAAAACATTGAATGCCAACAGTGAAAAGAGCAAACTTTTTTCAGATGGAGACTTGAAGCAGAAAATAAAATAACGTAAAAAGCATGTAAAAACTAAGACAAAGCAGTAGCCTGTAAAAATAGGAACAACAATGGAAAAGTCATGGAGAGAAAAGGGCTTGAGCATACACATGCTCTCCTTCATAAAGCAGCTTATTGATCTAAATGCTTTTTTATTAACAGCAAAAGCAACAGAAGATGTTCCTTTCTGAAAGACACTTTGTGCAGCTGGTTGCTTATTCAGAATTACAAAGATAAACATCCTAGTTATATTTGTCATATTCTTTTCCCCATCCCCCAACAATCCCCATCCATGCTGACAGCTAAAACTAATATATGTACTTCTTCATTTATCAGAAAAACAACCTACTGTTAACCTAATATAGGCTGTACTTAACTATGTATTTCACAAAACAGAAGGAAGGATGGCATAAATTTCTTTTAATTAGTATACAGGACAGGAATTCAGAGGATGAACATCTATTTTTGCAGTTGCCAGAATCTTACATATCTTCAGCAAATCCTTTTACCACCTGTTAAAAAGGGGGAAGGGAACTAAAAATCTTTCTCCATCTGTAAAGTGAAGCTTGATGATTAAAATTGAGAGCTGCTGAAAATACCATGGTGATGGAGACTCTTCAGCTGAATATACAGCCCCCGCTGTGATAACAAGCAGCACTCTCATCTCCCTCTGCAGTCAGTGACAATAAAGACAGAATTCTACTTGCAAAGGATGTCGGTACCTTCCTGACAAAGGATTCAATGATTTCTCTTTCTGTAATTTTTTTTATGGATCTTACCCTTTTTGACATTTTGCTATTTAGACAGTGACTATTAGGATTTCACTTTTCTGGCAAATAAACGATATATATTTTCTTTTAAAAACTCCCTGTGTTGAGAATGTAACAATGAAATTTCCTGACTGTTCCCATATGGCTTCTTCTCAAATGTATATGTACATGCAAATTTCCCTGGACCTACCTTCCACCACATAAATTTTGTCTCAGTAAAGTTTGCCTCTACATGCTTGTAGGATATCTCTAGAGCCCAGGGCCCTGCAGGAATTGCTCCCTCATCATGTCAGGCATGCAGAGAGATCCCAGATGCCACCCATGGGTGTGCACGGAGTGGAGAGCACAGCGTAGTTCAGGAGGCTGGATACATGCTTGGCATGTTGGAATCCAAGCGTGATCCATGCAGGTGAGAGGAGTCAGGAGTTGGTGCTTCATTTCAGCTTCTTGCATCCATTTACACAAGGAAGATGGGGGTTTTGAGTAGTTCCAGGAGAACAAAGCAGAGGTTTTTCTCCTATGATTAGGAGAACTGTGTCTTGGATTCTGCTTTCATTTCCTCAAAATTACTTCTAGATTTAATCATCTCTTATGAACAATCTGGATTTACATTACAGCAGAAAAATGCTACTTTCTGTGGCAATTCAGGATGACAGTTTGAAGACTCTCGAAGCTTCCAGTAAATTTTTATAGGGAGTTTTACATTTAAAAGGATCATTAACTATACAATATTATAATTGGATCCTTATGTTACAGGTTTTGTTTGAAAGCTCAAATGGTGTCTACGTATGTTAATAAACTTATTTTAGCACTGAGAGCACAAATGTGTGACAAATTGCCTTGGAGGAGAAATGAAAAGGAGATCATCTAAACTTTCATTTTTGTGAGGGAAGGAATCTGACATGTTGGGGGCACAGCAGGAAACCAATGAGGAACAGAATGTACAGCCATGGCTGCTGTTAATTATAGATCCTCAGTTCTGAGGCAGTGCAGAGCCTTGCTCTTAGGGTCTTTTCAGCTAACAGGTGTCTCATGTCCTCAAAACACCTCATATTCAGGACAAAAATTGAATCAGATGAGGGTATTATGCCTTCTTTTTCATCTTCTGTAAGTTGTTCTGGGAAGTGTTGGAACACTTTTCTACAGGAGATACAAGCATAATGTTGCTGGATTTTTTTTTAAGTTTTTTTTGTTTTGTTTTTTTTTTTTAATTAGGTCTAATGTAACTGTGAAATGGCTCCAGTCTGCCATCAATTGTGTATTACATGTGTAAAACTCCCAAGGAGACGATTCTTTGTGTTTTGCTCCATTTGGTTTTTTCCAAGTGAGCGTAGGAACAGTCCTTCCTCCACTGACCTTCAGGTACTACTCTAACACGGAATGTATTAGCATGAGTCAAATAGTGTGACTACAACAGCACCATGGTAAGGTAAATACCATATAGTTATACTTCCTTCCTCTGGCAATATCTCCAGGAGACAGGCTTCATAAAGAGCTACACCCAGTAGTAAAATAATTTGTGCTGAATAAACAAATGCGGAGAGATGTTA